CTTTCACTTTAAAATTAGAATTGAATATCTTCTCCTGTATTTATCATTTTCTCGTGATAACAAGGTGATTTGGTTTTTTAGGGAACGCAAATCCACGCGCTGGGTAAATTTTAATCCTTGGCCCCACATTTCCTTGTCGGGATTTTTGGTTCGGGCGCGTGAGACTCACGTATCAAATTATTATGTTTAGTTAATTTTAATTACTATATTTTTATATTAAAAAAAATATGGGATGTTCCTATTTCTTAAAATTTAAAAATCAATTTTTGTTAACGTGTCTATCGATGTTAACGAGCATTAATTTTCACATTAATGACATAAGTTATTTCTGACGGTTTATAAATACAGATGGATCAATAAATGAAAGGCTATTTAAGATAATTAAAATTATTTCATATTACTGCAATAAATTTATACGTACTCAACTCTATAAAATAAGTAAAACATAAAGATAAATAATATAGATATAGAATAATTTAAAATAAAATTCAATAATCTTTTTTTATTATTATTTTTTTATTAAATTATATAACAAAAATCCTATTTCATTACCTTTTTTAATAAATTTAAATATAAACAAATTTCAATTATTTCAATCTTATTTAATATTATTATGTTAAATTATCTTTAAAATTGTATTTGGACATCATATGGATTGTGAGTATTATAGAAAATATTTTTCTTTTATGATATAGGAATATAAATTAAAATAATTTAGGTACTTAGATTAATATAAAATTAGGTCATTTATTTGTAGTATATACTACGCAGATGATATATAACTAATAATCAATGAATTTTTTTAAAATATCATTATATTAATAAATTTATTATCATTAATATTTCTAACTAGAATACAATCTAAATAATCAACTAATACTATTTCAATTTTTTACTTGTTTTCTAAATTTAATTTCACTTCGACGCAAAATATAATCTCTAAAACAATTATTTGTTATATGAATAAATCAGCATACATGAACATATATTTACATAAGTTATACACTAATAATGAATATTACAAAATAAATAAAATATCCATATATTTACCTAATAATGAATATTAATTCTTCTTGTAATATTAATATATATATATATATATAATATAAATTAATACTTTCTAAAAAAAAAAGTGAAGTAAAATTAGTTCCATTTAAGAACTTTCGAGGTAAAATCGGAATATAGTTATAAGTATACAATTAGCTAAACATTTTATCTAAAAAAATATAGAATCGGAATAAATGATTTTACTCATTTTGGAGTTCTTCCTTCAATTATTTAATAGATGGAGTAATTAATGAGCTCTAATACAATTTCATATCATATATGTTTATTATATCAATTTTTATTAATGGATAATTTAAATAGATATTATCCACTAAATAATTGTTGTTAATCTTATATCTTCATTTTTACTAATAATTATTATGTTAAATTTTATTAATGAAATAACATTAATAAAGTGATATGAAAATTATACATTACATAAATTAAAAAAAAAGTTATAATATTAATTTTTTTAAAATTACATAATTTAGAGGACAAACAACTATATAAATAAAATGTAATTTTGTTAATATTGATTTATATAGTATATGTCATAATTTTTACTTAACATTTATTTTATATGTATTTATATTTATAACAAATAATTTTGAGTTATATTATTTATTAAAATATTTAAATTAGATAATTACCATTTAAATATTTTTTGAATATAATTATAACTTTAGTTTTATAAATCTGCTGTAATATATATAAAAAATAAATCTATAGAACGTAGTTAAATTATTTTCTCACACAAAATAAAACTCAAATACATAATATATAATATATGTTTCAACTAAATAACTAAAACAGACCTGATCCTCATATTGAATTTGTCATATCAATATAATAAGTTGAAATTTAATTTGATATGAAAAAATAATAATTTTTTTTTACACATAGTCAAATTAAAAAACTCAAACAATATATAATTTGAAATTGAAATGGAGGATGAGTAAAAAAAATGAGATTATGTTAAACAAAATTATACCCTTCTTTCTTTAAACTCTTGATGTTTTGAGACAATTAAAAAAAAAATATTACATTGATAATTGAAATATTTTTGGTTTAAAATACCTTTATTTGATATTTCCATCTTCAATTATTATTTTTTGTTAGAACACAATAAAATATGGCTGTTGTTGCATTTAAGCATGTGTACATATGAAAAAAAGAAAGGGAAAACAATATCAAAATATGAGATATTTATAATTGTTATTAATGTGTGTAATAAAATATTAAACTGTAATATAATTAAGGAAGTAGTCACTATTTCTTCTTTATATTCATCTATAGAGTAATTTAATAAATTTTTTAGATAGATTAAGGATGTTTAAAATTAAATAAATTTTAAAGAATAATTGAAAATTCATCAAAGTCATTTTTTAAACTCTTTTTTATAAATTTCAAGACTTGATTTGAATTAAAAAATAAGAATTAAATCAAATTATTTATTATATTTATATAATATTATGAATAGAAAATTATTAACCAACTAATAAATATACATTGTTATTTATAATATATTTGTACTTATGAAAGATATATTGAAACTTTGAATTGTAGTTTTTAATTATAAAATTATATAATTTATTTATTTAAATAATACAATTTAAATTATAAATATAATAATAATATGTATTTTATTTTAAAAATAATATTTATTGTTTTGAGAAAATAATTTTCAATTTTTTTAAAATTATTTAGCAATTTTATAATATAATTGCTGGTCATCACAATGGATATGCATGCAAATATCATTACATACATAAAATCTTAATAACTTTAAATACAAATTTTAGACGCATTTATTGTTATTATTTACAAATTATTAAATACCAACTATTATTTACATACTTATAATAATCACGTTCGTTAATTAAGATTGAATTATTTTTTATTATATACTTTGAATAAGACAATTCAACAACGAACATTCTTGTTAAGATAAAGGTTTTACGTATTTATCATAAGATAGTTTTAAAGAACTATCATTAAAAAAAGAGTTTTAATAAATAATATAAAATTATACAAAAAATTATAATATTTTAATTTAGTACAATGAAATATAAAGTAATTTCTTACTTTATGTTATTTAATATTATTATATTGGCAATCAAGATAATTAAAGCAATAATTATAAATTAATCAGGTAGTCAATGATTTATAGTGTAATTTGATGGTTAAGAAGGATAGTAATTATGGTATTAATTATCAATAAAACATGAATTCTATGTGCGTAATCAAGGAATGCTATAAAAATTAACGAGTGTTATATGGTTCATGAACTTAATAGTAATATATACACCTATTCTCTCTTTTTTTTTTTTTTTTTTACAAGTATACATTTTTTAAATATATGAAATAAAAATCAATATGAAGTATTAATGTTTTACAAATAATGTTTAAAAATTAAGAGAAGTTATCAAAGTGTTTTTAGAAAAGTTATTTTGTAATATAGAGTGATAATACGAATGTTTTACGCGTTGATAGATTTCGCTTAACTTAACATACCAAAGCAAGTATAATAATATATGAGTCTATACAGTAAAATAATTTATGTAATATTATTATTATTATGAATAGAATATAAAAAAGCCAAAAAATAATTAAGTTTTAAAAATAGTTTACATTTTTGCATATTCATATTGTAAAAGAACCTAAAAGATAAAAGTGAACCCATATGAGTTTGCATTCTAAATGGACTTATGTTTTTGTATGAATGACCATGGGTTTGTGATGGACCTCTCTTTTTTAGTTTACAAATTTAGAGGCCATTCCATAAATGAGGAAAATAGTAAAAAAACAATAATGAATATCAAATTTAATATGAAAAACCTGGTAGTGACTAAACCAACTCAAATTGTTATTTTGATTATCAATTTGGCTGACAGAGATGAAAAGAGTATTTTAAATATAAGAGTATCAAATCATAATGAGATGTCTTATTAAACAAAACCACCAATTGTACTGGTTCCAATGGAAGAAAAAGACAAACGTTTTTGTGGCAAAACAAACGACAACCTACTAGTGTTGCTAAACTTTTGTGATCGTCAATTTGAAAAATACATCCACATAGAGATGCTAATTCCTTGCCGCGTGTCAATGCCTTGGCTACTTGGAATTTAGGGCAAAAAAAATTTAATCTTGGCTCATTAAACATTCACGGAGGAATTGCCCATTTGGTCAAATTTAGGTGCCAACCCTATGTCCATGAATGGTGTTTGTGGTGGTCTTAAATTTAATTTGAAAATGAAAGTTGTGGCCCAAAAGTTTTACTTCACATGCTCTAAATTTCTCTAATTAATTACCACCCAAAATTTGACTAATTCTATCATATATTGGCTGGAGTCTTGACTCCAGCTATTCATTATTAGTGAAAAGGAAAAAGTTATTATTGTTTTCATAAAATAAGGATGTATAACTTATTTATATGTGAATTTTGTAGATATGTATTTCTTTTTTTGGTACTACATATTTTATTTACACTATATTTGAAAGGGATAAAATAAAACAATAGAGAAAGATTAACTTTTAGAACTTATTTTTTCCTTCAAATTTTACTCTCCACCCACTTTCCTTGGTCACAAACAAACTCATGTTTAGTTCTCATATAGTAAGTAATATATAAATTCCATACGTTTGTTTATGAATTTTAGATTGAAGATATACACTTCCCGTTGTTGACCACCGTTATGTTGATTTCAACGTGAGAATCATCAAAACGGTGGAATTAAGCACATCCGTTAGGACGTAGGTGGTGGCAAGTTGAAACTAAAAGACAAAAAAAAAAACAGAGGCGTCATTAATTAGGTTAACAAATTAAAGAGGAGACTGAGACACGACACCGATTTGAATCCCTAATGAATATAAACCTTAATAGGAAGGGACCATGTTTACGTGGATGGAACAGCAAGTGGGACTTGACTTGCCAATTTTACATGATAAATGTTCTATTCTAGGGTGGCATCAACTTGGTCAAGTGACGGTGAAGAGTGAAAGAAGAGACAAATAGCTGAAATATCATCCATTGCAATGCCCCTCCTCTTGCGTTTCCATGCACGCATTGCACACTCCACCAAATGTTTGGCAGAATCTGTTCTGTCTGCCGTTGAACACACAATGTCCACTGCTTCTTGATTAGAGATTACATCCCACACCTATAGTAATACATAGCATTAGCACATGCAGAAACCATGTCACACATCTGTGTAGCTGACTTTACATTTTGGTAGAATATTATTTTGTTTGATATTGATAGATAGTTATTGCAATCAGAATGAATATATTCAACAATTTTAAGAACAAGAGTGTGTAGTATACCCCATCAGTGGCTAGCACAACAAACTGGTCTTTGCTGGTTATGTTCCTGTGTGTTACCTCAGGGACTGATATAAGACCATACTCTTTGACGCAGTAGTCACCAAAAGCCCTTGACATGGCAAGTCCTGGAGACTCCTCATCCGGCAACCACACCCTGTGCACCCCGGGCTCGTCTTCTAAGCAGAACACTCGTCCTTGGCACTCCAGTATTCTCTCTGCTTCCTCTGCAAACATTAGATGCAACGCATTTTTTAGTTTACAAAAAATTTATAACATGTCACATGAAAATTGGTCAGGTAGGTGTCATTCTAGACCGTGTAATAATTTAACCATGGACAGATAGAATGATACACGGAAATACACTTAGCAAAACTTACGAGGTAAATTGGGCTTGAAATCTACAGTCAACTGAACTGCTACTAAATTTCCATCATCTGATGCTGTGGCTAATACAGCACGAGAGTCACCAACGTTTGCAATTACTATGAGTTCACCCTGCCCATCACAGATCAAGATAAGGTTCTATGAGGACCAAACTTGTGTGTAGTTTTTAAAGTACTTTTAGCATTTTGCCCGATAATAAATATTTGCATTAAGTGTTCATGTTATCAAGGTGAAATTCTAATTCTAGTTAAAGAACAACACAAACATCAAAAGCATTTAAGAAATTTTGTTTAAGCTTGGTCCATTTTGACAAGCTTTTTTGTTTTTCTTCACCTGTCTCACAATGGACAAGGCAGTTGTTCCGCTGAAAAATGAATCTATCTTGCGATTCTGCTTTAGTTCTCGATCAATGGCAGCACAAGTCTTCAAGTAAGAGTGCTTCCATATATTAAACCGGTGTTGCTTTTTCTCTGTCTCTATATCAACATCAACATCTGGATCAAGTGCAGTTTGAGAAAGTGTCTCCTGCCAGTTGCATAGCAAAGATGGTGGCATTGACTTTCTTACTCTTTTAGCCACGAAGTGACCCCATGGCCCGTGCCCGTCAAAAATCCCACAGAAGATCATGTCCTCTTGGCACCCAAATTCCTACAACCAACATCAACAAAAATCTTGTCTAGTAATTACCCCATGAAGAAAAGAAATTATTGGTAACATATGGAGAGAAATATTCGATATTGCTACATACTTCCCACACTACGCAGCAATCCTGATTGACCCCTTTCTTGCCTTTTTTGGAGAAAAGTGAGACAGAGTTGTTTGAACCATCAACATTAATGGTGCCGGAGCTATGCAATATGAAGTGATTTTTTTTGGCTTCCTTTGCCATTGCTTCCGCAGCTTCTCTTCCGTTGCATCCATCCGAACTCCCACCTTTCTTCGTTGCGAAGGACTTTGCCAACCTATTGAACGCAGATGAAATATGTCCCATCAACACTGCAATAAGATTCCACCGCTACACGCTGCTTACTTGTGCCTCTTTTATTCCCTTGATGTATATAGTACAGAATCTGGAAACTGAAAAACTGTAACGATTAAGCACAAGTCACAGGTAGGAAAATTTTCCAATAGTTCACGGGAAGGAACCGTTTCATTTTTTATTTGTATTTAACTCTTTCCTTAATATATAAAGAAGAGTGAAACAATTGTGTGCACTGTGGTGCGCGATCCTGGGAGATGTTAAGACGGAAAAAAATAAAATTTCTAACTCATAAGGCACAGGATTCAGGATTCATTCAGAAAAGGGCCAAATCCTGAAAGAGCTTAATGAACAAATTAATTCTTATTCTGAATTCCAACGTTGCACGTGGAATCTCTAAGTGGAAAATATGCCGAGAAATCAAGGACAACGAAAACTGGAGCCCAGCAAGTCTGAATCATGCCATGCGGCCAAGTTCGATTGAAGCTAAAAAGAAAAGAAAACAGATACGCCCTGTTAATATGTCATTATTTTCCTCACTTGGCTCACAAAATCAAAATGGTGGGCCATAGTTTCTTCTTCCAGTAAGGATATCAAAAGTAGGAGAAAATTCTGAGCATAGAAGAGTCTGTATAACAGAATTCAACTGCTCATGGTCATTTGTTTATTGGTAACAGAATTGGGACCCCAAAAAAAAAAATCATTTTTTGTCTTGCTTTTTCTTAGATTGGATGTTTCACCTCGTGTAAAAGAAACCTATTTTATTGGTACAACCAGAATAAAATAAGAGACCTGAGAAAAACTGAATTTTTTCATGAAGTATATCTCAAAAAGCCTATGTCATTATTCTCCCACCTTTTCAGAATGATACAGAATTAAATGAAATCAAAAGGGATGAAAAAAATGTAAGGACTTGATGAATTGCAACCTCCCATTCCACCCAAATTCTTCAAAGCCAGAACAATAACATAAGAACAAAAAGAAAACAGTTGTGTTAAGTCCCTGATCCAATTCTAATGCCCCATTTTCTTTTCTTGGAGCTGAAATGAAGTGAAGAGAAGAAAACAAAGCATTTGAAGAAGAATTAAAACAAAACATAGAAATGGAATGGATCCAAGACCTTGGAGTTGTTGGTAGAGAGACTGAAGAAGAAGGGACTATAGAGGCAGTAGCAGGAGTTGTTGAGGTCTGAAGAATAGGACGCAATTCCGACAAAGCCAGCTGAGACTTCGAGAAAGCAAAGGCGTAGAGGGCTTGATATCCATGTTTGTGTGTTTTTTGTTTGGTTCTGGTTTCTTCAGTTCTCTTTTATCTACAAAGACCAAAACAAAGTTTTTCTATGCATACAAACACAACCAAATAGACCCACTCAGTGCATGTAAATTTGTATTTGGGCAGGTAGGTACCACTATATGGGACTAATAAAAACTACATAAATCTACGATAAAAAAGGATCTCTACCTGATCCTCTGTTGACTTCATTGGTTTCTTTCAAATTAAGGCTTGTTTGTTTTACCAAAAAAATGATCTTTATATGTAGACAATTATAAAGGGGAGAATAAAACATTACCAAATTTTATAAATTGTATGTATGGCCAATTAAATTACATCTCATCAGGCATTTATTTTTGCCTTCGTGTGTTTCAGGAGCGTATCAAGAAATTAATAAGAGGTTTATTATTTTATCCAAAAAAATCTTCAGACCTTGTATTATGCTTTGTATTTTATAAATTATCATCAAAACGAGGAAATGCTGTAAAAAAAAAACCTGTATGGATGAGTTTATTTAAAATGTATGAGGCGTACTTAATTTGATAATTAAAAAAATGAAGTATTTATTTTAGAATTTTCTGATTTTATTTAATTTAATTTAATTAAAAAACAGCTTTTCTTACATTTATTTATTAATTTAATTTTCTGATTATTTTTGTGAGTATATATGTATTTAGGATATTAGTAAGTTGCCATGTGCTTTTTCCTCACATATAGGAACTTGGAAGTTGGAAAAAATAATATATATATATATATAACATATTTAAAGCGTGTAGAGAACTTCGTCTAGAAAAAAGAAATTAGTATTTATGTTTAGTGGTATAATAACTTAAAAAATATAGGGGAAAAACAAAGGGTCAATTTTTTGCCATTAAATAAATACTAAAAAAAGTGGCTGATAACATATTTATATTTGAAGACAACATTATCGCATGTGACTTTTTATAAAAGTAATGTTACTAATTTGTTAGTTGGTACGCAACAATGCGCAAATTATTATATAAAGAGATTTTTTTTTAATAATAAATTCTTTATTATTATCTGAAATTTACTAAAAATTAAAAATATTACTTTTTATTTACTAAAATTTACTCCTAACTTTATATTTTAAATAATTTTGAATCAGTAATAGATTTTTATTACATATAAATTGAAGAAAAAAATACACTATTCAGTTTTTTATTGATTAAAATTTATTATAAATATACTTTGTATCATTCATCTTATTCAAAATATGTTTAATATATATATATATATATATATATATATATATATATATATATATATATATATATATATATATATATATATATATATATATATATATAGCAGGACAATCTGACAGCTTGCACCGCCACTATAAATTTTATATATATATAATAAGTAAACATTTTGGACCAGCTTCTTAATGAATTATTTTTTTAAAAAAAGATACTTTAATAATTTTTTAAGAAACTCACCTCTCTTAATTTTTTCATGAGTACTTATGATTTTATAAATTAAATATAAGAATTTAATTTAGAAAACCTCCCTTCAAGTCTAAACTCTTGATAAACGGCTATGTTTGTTTATTTTTCTTAGAAAAAAAGTGATTTTTAATATAATAATTATTTATTATTATTATTTTTAATATATTTGTATAAACTTGTTAAAAAATAGAAATAGAAAAAAGTAGTTTCATTTAAAAAAAAATTTAACGTAAAATGCAGTAAAAGGAAGAGAGTATTTAAAAAAACTATCTTATCTGTGCATAGAAAGAAAAAAACTTAATATTTTAATAATAAGTAGTTAACTCACGGAGAGGAAATGGGTGTATGATTTCAAATTGACTAAAAAAATTTCCTCAATTTTGTTGAGTTGGCTTTGGGGGACTACATTGCAACGCATAACTTCATCAATATTTAATGCAAAATTATACACTTTTTATATTTTCAAGTAATTAATTACGTTAAAAATTATTCTTTTGAAATGGGATAACAAGTTAATTACATGACAAAAATATAATATTGTTTTTAATTTAAAACCTTAAAATATTAAATTTGTGATATGTTTGTTAATTTTTCTATTTGATAATTCATAATTAAATTTTAATCGATAGACTTAAATCTAAAAATTATAAAAGTAGGAATGAGAAAACCTAAAAAAATAAGAATAGTTATTTTTATATAAAATAAAATAAAAATAATTATGTTTTTTATTTATAATTTTTTTAACCTAATTGATAAAACATCAAATTTACTTTATTAAACCATTTTTATTTTTACATTTACAATAAATTTAAATGGAAACATTTGAAAAATAAAAAATGTTAGAATGATAAGAGAATAAGAATAATAAACCTACTATTTTAATTATTTATTTTAACTTATAATATAAATTAATTTATCAAAATATTTACTTAAAAGATTAAAATGGCACCACACTATATTATTTATTTAAAAAGATTTAGACTGAACCAACAGTTTGAAAACGCAATTTCTTTAACCATTTTATGTCATTATTTTGGCCATTCATACAGACTAATTAGGTGATAAATATAGATTTGTGAGGAATTAATCTAAAAGCAAAGTATTCAAAATCTACTATTTTAAAACTTAAACTCTGAATTAATTTAATCATTAAAATTAAATATTTATCTAACAAATTGAAAATAAAATTGATTGGCGTATCTCACAAGTATTAGAAGCAATGGTGTTAATTCCAATATATGTTATCCTCTTGATATTTTTTTTATTAAAGGAGAGGGCTTTAAGAGGTGAACAAAATAAGAAAGAAATTAAGTTGGAAACATAATAACATCGAATTAAAGTTAAATAAGATTTTTTTTTAAATTATATCGTATTCAAATGGATTGATATATATTTTTAATATTTTTATTTAATAAATATGTTAATTTGATTATAATCTTTTTTACTTTTAAATTAGTCGTTTAATTATCTTAATTAGATATTTATATCTAATTCTTTTTGTTAGTAGTAATAACATATTTTCTTTTAGTCAGTTCAACTTAACCATTGATCCTATTTGGATCTTTTTATTTTTATTGACACAACTTTAAAATATATGTTAAGTTTTTTTAATGGAATATTGTGGGATATCATCCACCTTGATCAACTGTCTTTCAAAGAGTATATTATTGACATAGTCTTTTTAATTTATGCACTTATTCAATCAGTATACAATACAAAATACATACACACTAAGATACGCGAATGTCATGTGATTTATCTTCATCAACATGTCCCTCAAAGGACATATTAATTAATATAGTCTCCCTAATTTGTCTACTCACTTGGTTCACGTGTATTATAGATTGCATGCATACCAGGATACATAGATGCAACATCACTCACCTTGGTCTTCATGTATCTCTTAGATCATCTTGACTAATACTTTCTTCTTAACATGTTTACTTACTCAGTTCATGTGCATAATAGATTGTATGCACACCAAAAACATGTGGACACCACATTACTTGCTTCATTCAACGTGTTCCTCACAAAACATCTCGAAGGACACAATCCTCTCGAGTTCACTCTCGGTTTATGTGCACTATAAATTGTGTGCATACAAATGCAGATATTCAAAATGACGACTTCTTTTGACCATGGTCATTGTGATGATATTGTCTAATGTGTCATGATAACATTTTTGAAAAATAAAAATAATTATATAACAATAATTATTTAATAATCGTAATTGAACGTGTGGCGAGATCAATCATTTGACGACAATTATCT